ACAAAACACACTAAAATCAGTTTAAAATGATCGTGTTTCCTATTTAAATAGGAATATTACAAGTGAGATCATTCAAAGGCAATCTTTCCCCTCTCTAGGACCAAGAACCAAAAGGAATCATCCCGCTAGAGAACTTAAGTGTTAGAGAAGTGGAGGATGCACACAAACAGGTACTTTTACCATGTTTTTTCTATTCCACCTCATTTATTATCACTGATCCAAATAGATAGTGTTTCTCTAGACTCTATTGCACCTGCTTCTTTATGGTTCTTTTAGTCAGCGCTGAGTGATAGCTGTACATCTGTCAGCACAGTCTAGATTTGCTTTGATGAAACCCTGCTCAGATCCTGATTTCTGTTTTTCTTTCTTTCTTTCTGAGTCAGCATCTCGTAATACAGAGTGACATTTAAAAGTTTGTGATATAACATGGTATTGTAACCGTGGAATGTAACCTTTTGAAAATGACAGCATATGCATTTTCTCTTTTAAAACATGTGCGTTCAGTTCTGTTTGGAGTTGTTCAGCCCTCATCGTAAAGGAGAGACGATAAAGGCATGTAAAACAGAGACAGATGGCAGAGTTGTGATAGGCAAACATCACTCCTACAGACTCAGTGCTGCTTCTGTAGAGGAGCGTGCGGACTGGATCCAGGCCATCAGGTACCAGACAGCACAGTATACGTGATTCATTCAGTTGAACAATTAAAAATAAACAGGCTTGATTTTAATATCATTTGCGATTTCTGAATGGCACACAACCCTAGTTCGAACGCCAGCAAACAAGACGTGACATCCAGTGTTTACAAATGAAATTCAAACCACATCAAAATGAGGTTTGAAATCCAGATATTTTTGGAATCCATGATTTGAAGTGATGATTTTTCTTGTCTTTTGGGACTTCACTCGTTTCATACAAAGAGCACTTTCTGAAATGGTGTCTCTTTTTTCTCATGTAACATACTATGACATTCACTATGTAGTGAATAGTGAATAAGTGAACAAGTCAACTGTTTTAGACCTCACTAAAAAGAGGAAAGGAAAAAGTTCCGTTTTTCTATTATGCTAATGCTTACATTGTTTCAATAGCAATCGTATTATTAAAAGTTTATTTATATAGAACATTTCATACATAGTGGTAAATTAAAGTGCTTTACACACTAATGATTTAAACCTTCCTCTGTGCTTTTACCTACGTTTGGTGTGAAAAATTACCGGCCTTTTAAAAATTGCTTGTAAATCTCTCATTATGCTATATTATCACTGAATCTTGAATCCAATCTTTTTGATAGGACAGTGTTTTGACAGGTTATTTATGTCTTTTAGGAAGTGATACAGTAGACTGTATGCCTCATTGATCTTGTTATATCCTGTGTAAGCAAAGTCAGTCTAATTTCTCATTTTTAGTCTAATTTAGTCAAATATATCTTGTTTTTTTTTTTTAGAGAAAGGAATCCTCTCTGGGTCAAAATGACCAGAACAAAACATGACGATTAAAAAAGAAAGAAAGAAAATATAAAAAAATCAAGAAAATATGAGAGACAAGTATGATACAGACACTAAGATATTGATGGCAAGATAACAATACGTTTTCATGAGTTCATCAATGTGTTTTTGTGGGTCATGGGAAAGAGGAAGTCAAGTATGTTTAGAAATGTGCACACACTTAGTCATACATTAACAATCAAATTAAAATATATATGTTTGCATTGACAGAGGAACTGAGAATAAAAAAAACTGCATCTGAGTCTAACTGTTTCCTCTCTTGTTCTTAGAGCTTGCATCACAAAAGACCCTTTCTATGACCTGGTATCTGCACGCAAGAAGAAGATCATCAGCCACACTGAACAACACGACTGAAGCTGACTGATGAACTGAGGGGATCGGATCGTTTCAACAGTTGCACACAGACTGAAGTAGCCAAAGGGACGATGATGGTTACAGTGGACTGAATGAGCTGGAAATGATGAATGAGGTTCTCAGGGTGCTAAATCTCTCTCTCTCTCTCTCTCTCTCTCTCTCAGCACTCAGAGGTCACCGCTGCTGTGTGTGCAGCCTCAGGGTTGGCTTACACGGTGGTGTTGTGGTCAGGCTTTCTGTGAAAAAATAGTTTCCTATTTATTTAACGCTTACGAGAAATGCCTTGGAAAGATTTTATTTGTAAAATATTGGGAAATATCCATGTCTAAACATGAAACAGTTTGTATAGTGTTCCTGGAAACTGTAGGATTTTTCTGCTCCTGTTTAAGTGAGAGCTTCATTTTATTTTCAATGAAAAACATTTAAATTAAGCTACATTTCAAAGCATTTAATACGGTATTTGTGTTTTGACGCACAATTTGGCTGTTTTTTTTTATTTGTATCATTCCATTTGACTAGCACGCATTTATCATTTTATTATCATAGGATTTGTAAAAATCAAATTAATATGTCTGTCTTGTAAATATTGCGACGCCAGTTAGCATTAACATTGATCAGGTTGAAATTGTCCTTATTCTGTACATAATAAATGACTTATTTAATGAATGTACCATTATTTGATTATAAGCGTTTGTCATTTCAGGTAATTCCTAAAACTTTTGAATACATAAGACCATGTTATTAAAATATAATGATTGCGCACTGGGATTCTCTAATTAAAGGTCTTTACAAAATAAGCCTCGTTTTCACCAAGTAATGCATACATTTGTCCAGCAGAGGGCACTGTTGGTCAAGCTTCATAATCCCTGCAGCGTATGTAGCCTATATATCAGGGGTGGCGAACTCCGGTCCTGGAGAGCCGAAGCCCTGCAGAGTTCAGCTCCAACCCTAATAAAAACTCACCTGCCTGTAGCTTCCTAGTAACCCTTCAGACCTTGATTAGCTTGTTCAGGTGTGTTTGATTAGGGTTGAAGCAAAACTCTGCAGGGCTGCGGCTCTCCAGGACCGACGTTCGCCACCCCTGCTATATATTTATAAGTGTACAGTACATACACTGGAGGGATTATGAAGATGGACTTTAATATCAATTACATAAAATAAAATTAGGATATTTGGGACTTTCCCACCAATAATTTCAATGGCAGAAAGTATACCTGAAGTTTTTTTTTATACCAGCTTTTCGAGCCTGGAACATGAGAAACATTTGAAATGAAGCTGTAGTCTATTGAAAAAAGTTGCACATTTGCTTCTTTTGCTACATCTATACTGCACTACTTGTGGTCTACAAAAGCACACTCCCCTCTTCCTGTGCATCATTTCCTTTATCTCTGCCAATTCGCTCGCCATCTCTTCAACCATTTCTGTTATTTCCCTGGCAAGACTAAAGAGTCTGGCTCAAGGTCATGCAGGTCACTGGTTTAACGTACATGCTTTAGCAACACACATCATATTACTCTTAGCAAACAAGGAAAGGCAAATGTCACACCCATGTTAGCCTAACAGATCTGTTGACGTGTCTCTGATGATGTCAGCCTGGTCAGTTACTGTGGATGTCATCTTAAGCACAGCTTAGTTTTATGTTGTCTAATACAGCTACAATTCAACACAATATTGCATTATCCATCAACTCAATACTGACCATTCAGCCTGTCCATGAATCACCTGAGAGGTGTTCAGATAATGCAGGTCATGTTTTCAGTGGTCTTTTGAACTTGGGCAACACTGAGAGATGACTGTCAAAAGGTGGCCTAATTTACCATACATTTTTTAATAAACTCTAAACTAACAGTTCATCTTTTTTCAAAGGACTTAAACCCAAAACTTTTGAGTTCGGGAGAAAAATAAAATCAGAAATATACCACAAATGTTCAGTACATTATCAAGCACTTCGTTTTTCCTATATATTTTCTTTTCCAAGAAGTTTCTGCATTCAAAGAATTCGGCATGATACTAGTTTTTCTATAGTTGTCATTTTCTAAGCGTACCAAAACCCATAACGACATTTGACCGCTCACATCTACAGTAATAATAAACCTGATAAATTGTGTAAAAGCAACTGTTTAACCTGATTAAACTAACATTTGGCAAATTAGGCTTATTGTCTTTTCTTCAAGGCAGTTTTATACAGTGCAAGATCACATCTTCTGGAGTTAAATGAAAAGAAATAAGAAGCAACAATATATTTAAGGCCACAGCTTTTTATTTATTGGCACTCTAGATCTAAAAATCAGTTGCATAACATCTATTATTTCCAAGTGCCATTAGTTCACACAGAACACGTTTTAGCCTTCCACTGTGCTGCATTGTAATTGATTTTTTATGTAAACATGCAAAACAGATGTCTGCTTTTTATTATAAAACCCCCTCAAGATGTTCTTATACATTCCACTGTTTTGTTATGCATCTTTAAATCAAGAATGTGTTCTGTGTGAATTCTTAAAGACACAGTACAGAAATGTATATTTATAAAGTAATAAAAGTGTACAAATGATTCCATGTACACATAAAGCCATTAATTTTACATTGCTGGACTGCTTTTTTTGTTGTTGAACAAAATGATTTAAAAGTCACTTTCAAACCAAGCAGCTCGAACACCAATGCAGCGATTTCATGGGACCAAATTAAATCTGTGTGGGGAACCTTTTCCCCCTCAAGCAAAACTCTCAATATTACAGATTCATATTGAAATGATTGGATTTCGCCTGGGAAATTTTGCTGAGCAATGGTAAATGTGACCGCACCTCAACGGTAACTGATCAGGCTTGTTTTCATCTGTCATCAGTCAGCTTTGCTATGGAGCTTTTCCCTCCTTCCTTTATGACTCTGAGGGAGCCACATGCTCGAGGCTTGGGTAAGTGCAACTGATTAGGCCTGGGTAAATATGCAGGGCAAAGATCTGCTGAACAGGAAATATGTGTAGCATGCTACATCTTCACTCTTACATTCAAAGCTCTCTGCAGTCCACCTCTGTAACTGGCAGGAGGTCACATGATCACAGAAAGCGCACTACAGTTCAGTAATTTTTTTTTTCTGACACCAGCTCCTCGCAGCGTCAGCAGCATTTTGGAGGTTGTTCAAACAACCTCACTTCCCTTTAAAAACACAGCACCAATACTTAGGGTTGTTTGCTCTGCCTTTCAAGAAATGCCGGAAGGAAGAGCGCTGCTTTTTAGAACCAAACAGCGAAGGTTTCTTCCCATCGCCCTTACCATCCTCTGTCCCATCTGGGGATGAAGGGGACTGTGGACGTACACTGTCCCCATTGGTGTAGATTAATTTTTCCATGTTGTTCACAGAGGCATGGTCAACATAGTCTCTCAGCTTAGAAAGATCCTGCAGGGAGCCAGTCACACCTAGACTGTTGCCAACGACTAAAGAGTACTTAGGATTATGGTATTTATGTGCAGGCACCTTTAGGCCGGCCTGTTTGGAGTCCCCTACAGAGATCTGGAAGCGTGACATGGATACAGGAACTGTGAGTTTGTTGGGTTCCGCTGGCGTTTTCAGCACAGGAACTGGCAGGGCCGGCTTACTGATGTGAAACTCACGATACAGGTCCACTTTATCAGACACAGCATACAGCTCTCTGAAGTCATTGTCGAAGAAGTCAACAACCTGTCCTGACATCACAGTGATTGTGTTGCGGTTCATCCTAGAGGAACTCCACGTAAAACTATAAAGATGGGAAGTGTACAGTAAATGTATTGATTAAAGATTGAACAAACGTACCACAATGGTGGACAAAACTACAAGATGTACTGTTTGGTCTGTATACGAACCTGTATGATCCAAACATCACTTTCTCTCCATCTACCAACATGTACTTGGAGCACAGCGATCCTGGCAGACGACCAAAGGACAGTGGCATGCCAGAACCTCTCACGGTTCGCACACGCAGGTTCTGAAAGAGCAGAAAGAGAGAAAACAATGTTTAAAGCTGTGTGTACACTGCATCATTTTTTGCTGTGGAGTGTAAATCTATTGCACAACATGTAAAATACTGTTTTAGTCATTCTGAAATGCCTGAGCTTTTCATCAAAATGATTTTATGACGTCGGCACCGATAGCATTGCTTTACGGGCGTCCTCCTGAGTTCGAATCCTGGCTTGAGGACCTTTCCCGATCCCACCCCCTCTCTCTCTCTCCCACTTCGCTTCCCGTCACTTCTACACTGTCCTATACTAATAAAAAGTAAAAAAAAACAAAAAAAACACCAAAAATAAATATTAAAAACATGATTTTGTAAAACTACTAATGAACAGTCTCACATAATTTCGTTCAATAACATCAGGCATCCGAATGCAAGATAACATTTCGTCTGTGCACTCAGAGGTGCAAGCAATTTATTATGTAGGAAAAAAGTTACAGGCTTCTCTAGTTGCAGTAACTTTTTTATCAATGATGCTTTGTGACAGTTTCAAAGGAACTGAAATTTTTGGGTCCATCTAGTTAAATAATTACAGTATGAGGAAACAAGAGGTCAGCAACTGGTGACATTGGGGCATGTGAGAGAAAATGTTTTATTATTTAGCATTGCATTTAAGTTATGAACAAAATTACCACAGGTCTGCTCTGAAGAATAAAGAAAGATCTCTTTTAGGGGCCGTTCACATATCGCATCTTTTGCGCGCTCAAGTTCGTTATCCAGACACAACTGACTCCAGACTTCCAGACAAGATTTTTTTAATGGAAAACAATTGCCAACATTAGCTCAAGGGCTTGCTTCCCGCGGTATCATTTCAATTATGCGTGTAAATGAGGATGTCAAAACAGACACGATCCGGTTAAAACACCCAGTCATTCGTGACCAAAGTCTTAGCTAAGATCTAGATCATACTGTTTGACATACAGTAAAAGATGCACAGTCTGCTATAACCTTTAACAAAGATCTGGCTTGTACCACAAAAAGGTCATTAAAGGGCAGTTAAGGCCCATTTACACTAAAGAGAACTATCTATCTATTAAAACTAATGGTTTTAATAATTGTTCTAGTTCTATGAAAATAGTGTCCATATGACAGCTGTAACGATAATAACACAGCAGAACGATTTAATTGGTATAACTTTCAGAATGATTTTTTTCCTGTTTATGAAAAATAAAACATTGACAGACAGTCAAAATTCACTGACTTTAAAGAGCTTGCATGCTAAAAGCAGCAGACAACAAAACTGCCATGCTTATAATAAATGTATTGTTATCGTCTGTGAGTGTGGATGATATAGCTACTGTTATCTTTATAGTTATTGTTCTTGGCATGAACAGTATAAAGTGGCAAATCTGGATTTTACAAAAGGCACGAGGTGTCAGAGCAACACACCTGACATGGGCAAATATCCAAGGTGAAGTCGGTAGTGAGAGGTTAATAAAAAAAATCCTTGCACACGGGTGTGGCGATTTCATCTGCACACTGAGGACTCAAAAGAAAGGAATACTGTAGCGACAAAAGGACTTTGAGTACAAGGCTGGCATGGATGAGGAAAAAGCAGAAGCGTGAGAGATTAGAGCACTCCACAACTCTCCTAAACAAGATCAAGTTGCCTTTTTTCTTAGTTCTGTTGAAATCTGCAGATCCTCTTTCAGGAAATAACAATGCTGAATTATCCAACTCTATTGCTCAGTGTAAAGTGTCAGATGAAAAGCCCTAGTGTCCTATATAAAACAATCCACATAGATAAGGCTCATTGGCAGTGTATCTTAGGGAGATCGGCAGTATTTGGGGCAGTCTTGCGGAAAGCACTGGGTTTCATTCTACAGCGTGGTTATGTGTGTGCACAGCAGACCAGGAAGTCAGTTGAACCCTGTGGCAACAGCTCCAGAATCAACCAGAGTTTCAAGTTCACACAGATCCCTTAAAGGTCAGCTGACAGTCTGTTAACATGTGCATTTGTGAGTGATATGGTAAGTCACGTGTTCTTTTTGACTTCTTTTCCAGCAAAGCCTGATAAGGCACGGCTGACTATTGCTAACATACACACATTATGATGTTTTGATAACACGTGTCTTCACTTTAACTAGCATTGTGTGATCACACACAGGGAGTTAAGAATAAAAGGGCAACATTTTGGTTCACTAATGGCTAGTGTTAAGGAATAAAAATTGAATTGGGTTGAAGAACAGACACTGATTTTTGCTTCCCAACCTGGAAGAAGGTAAAAGTTTACATAGTGTTGTTAAGATTACAATTGTTTGTCTTTAAACTCCATTTACTCAACGGTCAAGTTTACCAGAATTTCCTTGCAATTTTATAAGAAATAACAATAAAATTAATTGTAAAAATTATATATATAGTAAAATATATAAAATTATAGTATTTATATATACAATTTATTTTATTGTTTTGTAATTTGGTGTAAAATAGGACCCTGACATATATTATAATTAATTTCAATTTCAATTAATCACATTGAAAATGAAGTCTGTTACCAAAATATTTTGCAATGTGACATTATTTAAAGGCAAATACTGATCTCCAATTTGCATTGTCACAAGGCATCCTTTACGGATTCTTTTTTGCTAAGAACCAGACATTTAAGAATTTTTTTTGTATTAAAATCATAAATGATAACCTGTACCACAAATACTACTATGATGCATAAATATTTAAAAAATTTGTATTTTTTTTATTATGGTAATGAGAATAGATCTTCTCTTTTTTTGCATTATTTTAATAATAATTTGAGGGAAATGTGCTTAACTATCAAAAGAATGCCACAAAATAATTGCCCTAAAACTGGCTTCATTTTTTTTTAATGCAAAACACAATTTCTTGTGTATCAACCAATTGTTATCACTCACCCTCAGGTGCTGCACAGAAATCTGCAGCCTGCTGTTCATGTCCAGGAAGTGCGGCAAGCCGTGCTCCTCCAGCAGCAAGTACACAGCCACCCCCCTCTTACTCGCAGCATCTAACAGATCCTGCAGGATCAGTAGGTCCGTCAACAGGTCCATGACCACCGCAACCAGCTGAAAACCAAGTGAAACCAAACCGTGGTTAAAGCTTAGCAAATTCACTTAGTTTATCATTACATCTGCTTTGAGGGGAGTATGAGCCACATTGGGCATTTCTCTTTTCTTGCACTGCGACAAAGTCTAGTTTGTGTCAGTTTGAGTGAACACGTGAAATCACATACAGAACACAGAGCAGATACACTCCAGCAGACACATTAGCAATGAAAAAGTCCAAACTCAACATGAGTCACAAGCTATTTATGAAACAAAGCAGTCAATCTGGGTTAAATCAAGTTGCCTTTTTTCTTAGTTCTGTTGAAATCTGCAGATCCTCTTTCAGGAAATAACAATGCTGAATTATCCAACTCTATTGCTCAGTGTAAAGTGTCAGATGAAAAGCCCTAGTGTCCTATATAAAACAATCCACATAGATAAGGCTCATTGGCAGTGTATCTTAGGGAGATCGGCAGTATTTGGGGCAGTCTTGCGGAAAGCACTGGGTTTCATTCTACAGCGTGGTTATGTGTGTGCACAGCAGACCAGGAAGTCAGTTGAACCCTGTGGCAACAGCTGCAGAATCAACCAGAGTTTCAAGTTCACACAGATCCCTTAAAGGTCAGCTGACAGTCTGTTAACATGTGCATTTGTGAGTGATATGGTAAGTCACGTGTTCTTTTTGACTTCTTTTCCAGCAAAGCCTGATAAGGCACGTCTGACTATTGCTAACATTCACACATTATGATGTTTTGATAACACGTGTCTTCACTTTAACTAGCATTGTGTGATCACACACAGGGAGTTAAGAATAAAAGGGCAACATTTTGGTTCACTAATGGCTAGTGTTAAGGAATAAAAATTGAATTGGGTTGAAGAACAGACACTGATTTTTGCTTCCCAACCTGGAAGAAGGTAAAAGTTTACATAGTGTTGTTAAGATTACAATTGTTTGTCTTTAAACTCCATTTACTCAACGGTCAAGTTTACCAGAATTTCCTTGCAATTTTATAAGAAATAACAATAAAATTAATTGTAAAAATTATATATATAGTAAAATATATAAAATTATAGTATTTATATATACAATTTATTTTATTGTTTTGTAATTTGGTGTAAAATAGGACCCTGACATATATTATCATTAATTTCAATTTCAATTAATCACATTGAAAATGAAGTCTGTTACCAAAATATTTTGCAATGTGACATTATTTAAAGGCAAATACTGATCTCCAATTTGCATTGTCACAAGGCATCCTTTACGGATTCTTTTTTGCTAAGAACCAGACATTTAAGAATTTTTTTTGTATTAAAATCATAAATGATAACCTGTACCACAAATACTACTATGATGCATAAATATTTAAAAAATTTGTATTTTTTTTATTATGGTAATGAGAATAGATCTTCTCTTTTTTTGCATTATTTTAATAATAATTTGAGGGAAATGTGCTTAACTATCAAAAGAATGCCACAAAATAATTGCCCTAAAACTGGCTTCATTTTTTTTTAATGCAAAACACAATTTCTTGTGTATCAACCAATTGTTATCACTCACCCTCAGGTGCTGCACAGAAATCTGCAGCCTGCTGTTCATGTCCAGGAAGTGCGGCAAGCCGTGCTCCTCCAGCAGCAAGTACACAGCCACCCCCCTCTTACTCGCAGCATCTAACAGATCCTGCAGGATCAGTAGGTCCGTCAACAGGTCCATGACCACCGCAACCAGCTGAAAACCAAGTGAAACCAAACCGTGGTTAAAGCTTAGCAAATTCACTTAGTTTATCATTACATCTGCTTTGAGGGGAGTATGAGCCACATTGGGCATTTCTCTTTTCTTGCACTGCGACAAAGTCTAGTTTGTGTCAGTTTGAGTGAACACGTGAAATCACATACAGAACACAGAGCAGATACACTCCAGCAGACACATTAGCAATGAAAAAGTCCAAACTCAACATGAGTCACAAGCTATTTATGAAACAAAGCAGTCAATCTGGGTTAAAGGACACGTATGTGTTATACATAAACCACACACCACAGCATTTTAACAAATAAAATGCAAACTAGGTCAGCATAAAACTCATAATGACGTGGAAAAACAAGTTTAAATTTATTGGGTCAATTCAAAGCTTGTTTAAGGTAAAGGTTAGGCCCCAATCCCTTCTTCATCCTCACCGACTCGCATGTCAAAGCTATGTAAATAAGAAGGAAACTATTTGCATTAAAGAGAAAACACAGATAACAGCTGAACAGGAGTGTCACAGGTTGAATTACTTTTGATAACACAGATTCAGTTCTTTTGCTAAAGCTGAAAATATTTGAAAATTACATGTTTTATTGATTGTAAACTATTCTTTAATAACATTTTTAAGCTTTTTTCACAAGTTACAGTACAAGGAAATGCTATTTTAACATGTTCAGACATGCATGTTTCTATCAGTTCCTCAAGAGGAGGCCGCCATCTGCTTCAGATGAACACATGACATCAAAGACACGAGCGTCAGGATCGACCTGGATAATATCTAAATACAACGTCCTGTGGACATAGTCTAATGCTAACATTGACACCTGATTTCCTGAAACTAAAACTAATAGTCAGCAATCGGCTTTGAACTTTTTAAGGCACATCTAAATATCATCCAACTAAAGACTACGGGACAGTAACTCAATAAGTGTACTCAGAATGTGAAGAGTATAAAATAACATTGCCATAAATGTGCATATAATGTCTGGTCTTCTAATACTCTATAGCAAGAATATTACAAAAGGTGTGCTTGAAAATGAATAGTAAAATCAGTTTATTGTAGTGTTTATTGAGTTGCTGTATGAATGTAAATCGACATCAGTGTAACTACAAAACTAAACAAAACAAGAGCAGCACCTGCCAGAACATAATTAACTTCAAGTGTCAAGTGCATTTGAATAAGTTTCACCGCAGCCCACCAACAAATAAGTCTTACGGGTGTACTTATGGCGCAAAGAGATGTGACGACAGTGTGACAACCAGAACACAGAAGTAAAATGTTTGTGTATTTACAATAAAATTAACCAGCTATATATTATACTGTATTAATTTTGCTGTTACAAACAGAGACGGCCCATTAAAATCAGGTCCAAAGATTGTAATGATCTGTTGAGTATTATTATCTCATTGTGTTCGGGATGTATGACAGATTTACAAGGCATTTGTGAGAGGAAACAGAACTAAATTGTAAGTTACAAAGAAATGTAGTAGTTCTTGAGTTAACACTTTTCATGAATGTTTTTACAGCTTTTGTATTTATTGAGGGTTATGTACATTGAGTGAAGGCAGCTGAAATGCTTTGTACCTAAAGTGTGTCATTATAACTTATCACTGTTAAGGAAGTCACACTGTGTGTGTAAACCCGGTAACAAAACGGTATGACTTGAGGGCTCCGGCAGTATGATTGACAAGGCACTTACAGACAAAACCCAAGGCTACATGAGGGTGATTTCCTGACTGATTATTACTTCACTCTTTTTACTAAAACTCATTCACAATGACACACATTATATAGTACAAAAGGTTAGAGATATTTCTATACATACTACCTGATTTTACCAATGGCTAGATACCTCTGTTTTGTGTTTTTAGGGGAAATTGGTCTTTATGAGAATATCTTTTCTTTTTAATCGTTCTTAATATATTATGCTAATAAAAATTCCATCATTAGATTAGATTAAGTTCATTATCGTTTTGCAGTATCTATTTATTTATTTAGGCTTTTCATTTAAAGTTCAAATGAATGTTTCTGTTTCATATCATTTTGTATGACTAAAGATCAATGTTTAGTCAGGGTGACAAACATATTTACTAGACACAAGTACCTTATGAGACACAGACTCATAGTATTTATACCAGCAGTAACATTTCATATTTCAGTTACCACTACACTTTTAAAAATTAAGGTTCTTTATTGGCATCAATGGTTCTATGGAGAACCTTGAACATCCGTGGAACCTTTCAAATGCAGAAAAGATTCTTTATAGTCAAAAAAGGTACTTTAGATTTTTAAAATGTTCTTCAAAATGGTTCTTCTAGGAACTGTTCACTGAAACGTTCTTTTGTAAATATTCTTTCTTTGCGTGAACATTTGGGCGGCGTTATGCAAATCTTCCCACATAGTGAGGTAGATATGTGGGGGCGTGTTAGAACGAGCCGTTTTAGGTAGGTGTGGCTGACTCTTAACTTTTATAAAGAATATCTCTTTGGATTTGAGACTTTAGTCTTTGCAACTTTACAGATCTTCTTTATGCACCAAGAGCTTGTATCACTTCAAAGAGAAAGGAAAAATTGAAATCGCATCATATGACCACTTTAAGAGTGTAGTTACCTTACTAGTTACATTTTAGTAGAAACAATGTATTTAGTATCCAATTGCTACTAGGAAAACTAGATATTGAGAATCTCCTGGAAATGGACTAGTAACTAAGTACTAATACCTCAAGAACAGTTACTAGTAAAACTTGAATAGCTACCAGCAACAAATGATAATACACATAAGTTAGAAATAGCCTACATTGCCAATAGTAGGCTAACAATGGGATAGCTACTTGTTGGGATACTATTGATGCTATTACTAGTATATAATGCATAGGTACTGATGACTAATTGAACAGATATAGGTCACTAAGTAGCCTACTAATGACTAATGAATAGTTAGGAAATTTCATTAGTCACTAGTTATTACTATTCGTTAGTCATTATTATTGGAATACTTGTTTTTTTCACTAGTAATTAAAAAAAATAGTATATTAAAAAATAAAGTATTTTCGTTTGGAATAAATGGTAGACCGCCATGGTCGCTTACCTTTGTGGATTCTTGAATGAGTCTGCGGACCACCTCTTTAATATGCGGACTGTTGGATTTTGGTGGGTGGGTGTAAACCGACACCCGAGTTACCCCTTTGTAATGGCCGTTGCTGGGCCAACCGATGTCCAGCGGAGGGATCTCTGTATCAGACATGGTCGGCCAGTAGGTTGAGTGCACACCTGAGTCTTCACTCGTATCATGCGGCGACCGTGAGCAGCAGGTGTCCGAGTCGCTGTCATATTCCTGGAAGGTGTCCCGCATCAATTTGATTTCCCTTGCGGAGAGAAAGTCTTTAACACTATCCTCTTTGAGACGCATCTTGAACGCGCCATCCCCGTTCTTTAAGAGCTGCTCGAGCGCGGCCCGCTGCTCCTCGCTGTAATAAAACTCCGGTTTGGACTCCGGTATTTTCACGTTAACATGTTCATCGTCCATGCATACTAGCTGAGACTCAGCCATGACAGCTGTGCTCCCGGAAACAACGGTTCACCTGTGTGGCTCCAGACAAACCGCTCAGCACACCTTTACCTGTTTGAGTGGTTGGCTGAGGTGTTTCTGAGCTAGAATAAAGACAATTAGTGGGCGGAGCTTCGATAGCGTGGTAGGCGGGGCTTCAGCGCTCTGTATGAAGGTTCTTGTGAATTGACATGACGACACTTGTTTAATTTAAAATAAACACGGATGAAACCGTCACGGTAGTTTCCTTGACTGACGCCAACTTTTTGTTTCTTTACCAAAAAAGTAAATACAAGAATATAACTACCACCAAAAAAAGCTTAAAAAACAATAATAGGCCTAATAATAGGCTAATAAATAAAAAAATATATATTTTTTTACCCTTACGAAAATTAACCATGCTTTTACTACAAATAAAACAAAACAAAAAAAACATGGTTACTATAGTTAAACCATGGTAACCACAAATTAACTCTGGTTTTGCTACACTATAGTTTAACCATGGTATTTGTAGTAAAACTGTTGTTATACAAATGTAAATCAATGCGCCAGAAAACCACGGTTTCTACACTTTTACTACAATAAAACAATGGTTAATTTTCGTAATATTCTGTTATCGTTTACCTGCAACTTTATTTCCTCCGTGGAACACGGAAAATAGAAATAAAGTTCTACAGGTTTGAAACAACATGACAGTAATTAAATTATGACAGAATTAGGTTGAACTATCTCTTTGAAAAGATCACTTGACTTATATTTGAAAGCAGAAAGATTTATTCAAGTCCGCTGTTATTACCATATTTGCCATCCGTATTTTCCATCTTGTATAACAAAACAATAATCATATCTCTTCTGCCTGTGCCTATTTTGACAAATCACTTCTTAATACAAAAATGGGTACAGTAACATAAAAACTTTGCTTACTGTAACACTGTATCTTGTGTTAGTGTGTCCTACTGAAGATCTTAAAATATAAACATGAACTGAGGGGTCACTGTAAGGGCTATGTACTGTATAATTCAGTAATTCATATAAGGGAAATGTCTAGTCATTAGGAGAATTTGACACATAAGAGAAATAGTATAGTTCTTTCTTCGTACCATAAAAATTATGTATAAAAAAAAAAGATTATGTATATGAAAAAGAGAAGCAACAAAGAGCTTCATGAGTCTTTTTCTCACTTCTCCTCAACAGTTCTGCAGCCAGTTTTATAAAAGTAATTTGAAAATAATCGACCAGTCCGTACATTATTGACAGGCATTTAGTAAGCGAGTGATGGATTTGACTCTTAGCATAGTGATTCCACACCTCTGAGCAATCAGAAGACTTCAGATCTGTTCTGTGTAATTGGCAGGGAACAGACCAGTCCTGCCACGCAATCGACCTTTCCACCATGATGCATCAGAACGGTCCAGTACTTCAATGATTTCACCGGAACTGAAGCCCAACTCGTCAGCTTCCTCTGCTGTGAAGTCATACATTGCTCTCACCTGTATGGTTGACCTCTAAAACACACACACACCCAATGAAACGTCAATATAATAAAAGGTACTAATATCCTTCTGAACTTTGTTCCTTAATGTTCCTAAATCATTTTGTAATACCGAGGATATGAAAGTAAAATCTGCATTTTACTAATTTTACTAATGTATATGGATAAACTACCAATAAATATGGGTAAATAAATAACGTGTATAGCCATTTAAAGGTGCAGTGTGTAATTTCTGTGCATTATGAAAGAGAATTGCAAAAAAAATTGCAAACAAGTTTCTCGAACACCTCTTACATTCTATTGGCTGGACAAACAGATAGTCCTGCCCCCAAACTCATGCCATTGGTTGGTTCATTCAAGTCCTCTTTTGACGCTCATATTTATGAGTTGGCAAGTCGTAATTATGATGTCAGGTGCATTCAAGTCACTTGTCGGAGCAAGATTATTATTTTTTTTAAACTCTACAACTACAAAATAATGAATAAAGATTGTGCATCAGTGTGTTTTTGCTTTTTTCTGATTTTATTCAATTTATGAGGTTGCTGTAAACTGAATTGTTATATATTCTATTGTAATCGTATTTATATACAATCGTATTTTGTAGATACAACTTAGATAGTTTTATTGTAAATGACAAAAATAAATAAATTAATAACTTAATTCATTTCAACAAATTTACAGTCATTACAGACGCTGCATGTCTATAATTTTTTGGCTGCGTCTATGGCATCCGATAGGCTTTCTCACTGACACGTCCCCAACTCAGAAACTCAGAGTTTCTCAATCGTAATTATGACTTTGTGATGGTGCTCATGTGCGATCAACTTTTCCAACGTGACTTGAACGCACAATAAGATAGGATAGTAAAGTATTTTAACATTGCAAAATATTACACACATCACCTTTAAAAAAAGTTCACACAAGACTTAAATAAAGTCTAGAGACAGATGTCTGTATGTTAATGCACTGTGTGTGTATTGTCTGTCTCAGAAGATCAAAGTATCTGTTTCTTTTATCCTTACAAAACCGATTAATTTATATATAATTACTAGTGGATGCACTATACACTTTTATTATTTAGAAGGTGACCAATAATCTGTGACCAATATTTTATATGTAGATTGATTTCTCCTCTCTCAACTGTTTCTCAAGCGCGCTCTCTCATCACTGCTGCTGCGTGATTGTGACGCATCACCACAACACTACGGAGACCCGAGGAAAAACTGGGATTAAAGTCCAAAACCTGACTTGAAATAACCTAACAAATCAATCGGGGCTAAAGCGTTTCCATTAAAGACCATTTAAATTCACGCAATCTCACTAATTTGTGCATGTTTATTCTTAAACCGACCTTAATGTCGATCATGGATCAAATCGATCCATCATGACAAACAGCGAATATATCTGTACTGTTTAATGCATTTGAGACGTTGTGTTTTCCTCAGTGCATAACTGACATTTCACAGGTATATTTTTCATCTGTAAATGTTAGAAAGTCATGCAAACATATTCATTTCGCTGTCAGGAGTGGGCGAGGAACGCGAGAGAGAGGCATGCGCGCTAAACAGACTGAGCGCAATTGAATAGAAGCGCAATAATTATATAAACATACATTTTGCTAAAAAAAAATTGTTTTTGGACATTAAATGTGTCTTTTGTAGAATTTTAAACCTACATATAAAGTGTATTTTTATGATAGCAGTAACTGTAAGTGGACTTGTAATATTTGGTCCCTCTAAGCGAGATCCCAATTCGTCGGTCATCCGACGTGACGTCTCCGTTCCCTCCTTCAGGGAACGAGGGTTACATACGTAACCGAGACGTTTCTTATAGCAGTTAAAATGTAGTCATTTTCTTTAGTGTTTATTTTCATTTTTAATTCAGTGATTTTAACTTTTCATTTAGTTATTTTAATGCTTTAAAGAGCAATTTTAGATTGTAATGTTCTAATGTTCTGCTATCTGTTCTGCAAACTATAAAAGGTACAGCTGTAATAAAACCAGAGAGAAAGGCTGCATGGCTAGAAACTGTAAAAAAAGGCAAATAATAGTATGTGAAACAGTGGTAATATCATTGGATTGCTATTGGTCAGTGTTAGAGGAGCTTAGCTTAGCCTGACAGTTAGCCTGCTTCAGACCAGGTTAGTTTCCCAGCATAAATTGCCACAGTGACTAAACTTAATCTAGGTCTATGTTAAATTTGCTTTATGGAACCAAATCATTTGACAATGAGTCAGACTATCTGAAACGAATCGAAATCGGATCGCACTGCATCGTAACAGGGGTGAATCGTATCGCATCGCATCGGTAGCTGCTTCATATGTATTTTTAATGTATCGTATCGTTGGCTATGCATCGAGAAGCGTATCGTATCGGCCTCAGTCATGGAGATGCACATCCCTACTACACACACACACACACACACACACACACACACACACACACAC